GATGGCAAACAACAACACTTTAGGGTTTCTATGAGTTGGAATCAACTCCAGGCAGTGGGTTTGTTTATTTATTTATTTATTTGGTATGCTAATACCAGAGGAAGGAGCTCTGGTGGCATAGTGCCTAAGGCATTTGACTGCTAACCAGAAGGCTGGCAGTTCAAACCCACCAGCCACTCCTCCGAAGAATGGTTGGGCAATCTACTTCTCTAGTGATACTGCCTCAAAAACCGAAGGAGGGGTCGCTGTGAGTCAGATCCGACCTGACGGCAATGAGTTTGGTTTTTTGGTTTTATTACCAGAGGAGCACTGATAGTGTAGTGGTTAAATGCTTGGCTGCTAACTGAAAGGTCTACGGTTCACTGCTACACAGGAGAAAGATGTGGCAATCTGCTTCCATAAAGATTTAGAGTCTTGGAAACCCTATGGGGAATTTTACTCTGTCCTATACGGTCAATGTGAGTTGGAATCAACTCAACAGCAGTTTTGGTTTGGTTTTTCCTAATTCAAAAGTTCATTCTCGTCCCACTAGAGTTTCTCATCACTTCCTCCTGTGTGTCCCTATTCTCTCACCTCACCTCACCTCATTTTTACAACTTCTATCTCCTCTAATCACCGATCCCAAAATCTTAACCCCTGCCCTCCATTCCACTACCAAGACACAGAACCCCAAAACCCAGAGATTTGGGAAATGAGAATGTTGGCTGTTTCACTGATTGACAGATAAAAAGGAATGCTCTTGATGTTGGAACTGTAGCAGGAGATGATATTTCAAATTGAAACTGAAAGCAATGCCTAATTTTATAAAATGGTGTTATAACCCATATGTTCTATATTCCTGTAGTATTTATTATGCTAAAGAAGCATTTTGAGTTAAATAACCTGGGAATTTAGCTATTCTTTACAACAATGTTGTTGTTGTTGTTATTATGTGCCATCAAGTCAAACTTGACTCATAGTGACCCCTCCTTGGGTTTCTGAGGCAGTATCACTACGGAAGTAGATTGCCCCATCTTCCTTCCCAGGAGTGGCTGGTGGGTTTGAACCGCCAGCCTTCTGGTTAGCAGTCAAGCGCCTTAGGCATTATGCTGCAAGAGCTCCTTACAACAATGTACTCACTCCCAAACAACTGATACAAAGATGAAGTTTTGAAATGTGATGAGTTAAAAATTGAAGATTTGCATAACAAACATTATTTTGCAAACTTACAAAAACGTAATAATTTGTTGGTAGCAGTTAAAACACTAGTGGTCAAAAGAGCAAAGATAGACGTGAATAATACCGGTGATGTTTTTTTGATAAAAGACAAGGTGATAAATTAGTTAAGGTGTTCCTAACACCTATTCACATTCAGAATCTTCTAAATTAATTTCCAACTTAGAGTTGTTGGTGTGTATTTTTCTACAGATTTCCCTTTTTGCCCATAAAGAGAGTGGTGAATGTAACATTTCTTAAGTGTACCCTACCGTT